TGTGGGCCACCTTTCCAGCTACACTGTGACTGGTGCAGGGCTCTGCTGTTGTCTACACACACTTCAGTCAACTCATGCCTGCACATGTCGGGCTGAGGAGGAAGCAGGCAGTGTAAACTAAAGATGCACTCTTTCTTGTGAGCAGACGATGGAAGGGTTTCCATTCGCTCATTGCCCCATCTGCAGGGTCTCTCTCAGCTTTAGACTGTCCACAGCCAGGACATCCCCATTAACCAAGAACATTCTCTGTGAACAGGGACTCAGGGTGGACAATCTGACTGAAATCCTAAAGAAGCCACAGAGGGTCATGGATGCCAGCTTCAAGGTTGGGATGAGTTGCAGAATGAGTTTAGTTCCTCCTAGAACAACTCTCTGAAGGGCTGAGGGGCTTTCAAATGCCCATAAGTAGACATCTTATTTCCAGAATTAGTGCTCACAGCTGCTGGGGACCATATGACTTGCACTTGATGTCACTTCCAAAAGAAGAGCTGGCCAGGTATGGGTAGGGGAGCCACAGCTAAGGCATGTGGACAGCACTGATGATGGCTACTAGAGATGGGCGAGGAGTAGGTGGTCTCACACTGACACACCCCCTCATGAGGAGGAAGAGGCTTCAAACACAGGCTCCCAGGCCCAATGCCCGGACACCACTCAGCCAAACACAGACCGCTTGCTTTCCCCATGACCTACACACAATCGGGTTCTCTGAGCTTCTCTCTGGACCCTCTGGCCTCCCTGTGCTGTCCAGCTTCCCCCAAAGCCTCTGCCATCCTCCTGAGTCTTCCAAACCGCAGAGTGGCCAGCAAGGGTTTGCATGGTTGGTACATCACCTGGGTATAACTTGGTCAGGCACCATCTTTCAGGAGGCCTCGCCCCTCCCCAGTGAGGCTTTGTCCCTTCCCTCCTGAGCTCTAGGAGAAGCACCAACTCCACAGTAGAAGACACCACCATGGCTCTACATTATCAGCACCAGAGGACCACCATACGCCTTCCAGGGAAAGGGACCAAGGACAACTTGCCTCTGCAGTAGTCCTAGAGAAACACAAAATCCAACTCTCATCCCCTGGAAGCACCAAGGTACAAGAAATGCAGGGAATCTATAAGCTCAAACTGTCTTGGGCCCTCCACAAGTGTCGCCTCTCCAAAGACAGAGGCGCTAACAGAGCCGAAGTGCACCTTAGTATCTTAATTCAGTGCGTGCGTCTACACTGGGGCTTGAATCAGTGTCTGCCCCCCTGTCTGCCATTTTGGGACAGATGAGAAGTTAAAGTCTACAGTCCCAAGACAGCATGGGGTCACTGTCCATTGGTGATCATGACCGTTGCATGTGGCCGAGATGTTCTTGCTCTCAGGAAGCACACACTGCAGTATTAATAGGGGAGAGGTCCTGTGAGAGCTCCCCACCCACACTGGCATGCCAAGCAGGCTTGTCCTTGCTCAGGTCTTGTTTGGGTGGCCATATTGAAATCTCACAGGGCAGCTTCCCTTTCCCTGTCCTACAGAGAAGACACACCCTCGCAGTGCATGCCCTGTTCCACTGGTTTGCACCCCTCCTCTCCATGATGTTCCCTTCTCTGCTTATAGGGGTTCAGCCTCCACAGCCCCACCTCACACTGCCCCACTGTTCTTAAATGTACTCGCCATACAACAGCTACACAGTGGGATCTCTAGTCTCCTAACCGGTAACTTGGGAAGATGTCCTGTCAGGCTTTGTAAGGTTGGTAGCAATAAAGGCTAACTAACACTAGAGAGAAGATAACTGCCCCGATGCAGACACTAGATTGTAGAAGCTTTGGTGCATCCTCTCAAGTAGGCGAGGGATGGGCCGCAGCTCGGCAACGGTTCATCTGAAGTCATTATTCTCCCACTTCCTGCCTGGCTTCCTGTCCCCAGTGTTCAACAATGGACCATGGCTGTGATAACAGACAATGGGCTGCTCTTCTAACCAGCCAGACTGGTGGCTACGGCTTTTGAGGTCACTGGGTCAGTGTCCTGAGTTTGAGTTTGACATTTTGAACTGGCTGCGGTCACCTACCATTTGGAGAAGATCTGCTTTCAGTGTAGAGGAATTAAGGTCTAGCCTAGAACCTATCCCTCCCCCAACAGCCAGCTAAGGAAGCTGTAAAGTCCTTTATGGGTGACTGCACTTCAGCATGGGGTAAGATATGCTAAGGGTTGGCAAGATGGCTCAGTTAGGGAAAGCACTTGTCACAGAGGCGTCATCATCCGAGCGAGACCCCGGCCACCCACATAAAAATGCTGGAAGTGACAGCATGTGCACCTGTAATCCCAGGACCGGAGAGACGGGAGGCAAAAGAAGGAGAATTGTCCAGAAGCTTGCAGGCCTGCTAGTTTGAAGCAGAGAACTAACTCCCAAAAGTTGTTCTCTGTTCTCTGACCTCTACACAAGCACAGTGGCTCACAAGGTGTGTTACACACACACACACACACACACACACACACACACAAAAGATATATAAAATAAAGTATAAAATCTTGCAAAATAGTACAATGATGTGTATTTACATTGACTGTGTTAAAAGGATGGGAAATAACAATGTCACATCTCATTGAAAAAAAAAAAGATGTGACCATCACAAAATGCATACTTAAACATGGAACTATAAAATAACATAGGCAGGGAAGCGGGAGGCAGACCACACACAGCCCTGGTCTCATTCTCTACCAGGCCAGCTGTGTGAGTGAAGAATCTGGGACGGTCCATATCTCACCCGCACAGAACTTGAACCATTCATCACTGGGATGCCCTCCCTGAGGGGCTAGCCATAGCATGTGACTACACTCACTAGCTATCCCTCACTTTGACCATCCTTAACCACTCACAGTCCCCAGGGAGCTGCCTCAAGCAGGCTCACCTGGGAGGGCCTCCTAGTCCTCTGTCCACACCTTATGGTTTGACGTGAAACTTGTACAAACTATCCATGAGACGCCTGGTTCTGCAGACAAAGCCTTTGATACAACCCAAGAGTGGGGTGTTGTGCCAGCTCATCTCAATGTACAAGTCCCAGCAGTACAAAGACCTGCCCACAGCCGCGTCTCTCCTGAGGCATCCCCACCCACCAGATCCAGCCCCAAGGGCATGCATCTACGATGTTCCAATGCAGAGGCAGCATCATAGACAGCTCCTATCTAGACTTAGATGTCTCTATGTTCATCAGAAATGGCATGTGTGGTGGTTTGAAAGAAAATGGCCCCCAACCGGAGTGGCACTATTAGGAGGTGTGGCCTTGTTGGAGGAAGTGTGTCACTGTGGGGGTGGGCTCTGAGGTCTCTTTTGCTCAAGCTTTCCTCAGTGTGACAGTCAGTTGACTTTCTGTTGCCTCTGGGTCAAGACGTAGGACTCTCAGCTCCAGCACCACGTCTGCCTGCGTGCTGCTATGTTTCCTGCCATGATGATAATGGACTGAACCTTTGAAACTATTAAGTGAGCCGCCTCCATTAAATGTTTTCATTTATAAGAGTTGCCATGGTCATGGTCTCTCTTCACAGCAATAAAAACCGAACTAAGACAGTATGTCCTCCTGGACTCTGGACCCAACTGCAGTCCAAGACTAAAATGTAGTCCCCTCTCCCTTAAACAGCCTCATGTTTCCTACCCCTGCCCTCAACAGAAGGACCAGGCTCCTGAACACACCATAGCCTCATACAGTCATAAAGTTCAGTCACCGCAGAAACCTCTTTAGAGAATCCGACGCAGAGGGATTAGTGGATATAACTGTAACGGTAAATTATGAAATCAACCCATCTTCCCAAAAGATTGCCAGTTTGGATCTAGACTAAGAAGGAATTTATATTCTGTGAAGTGATCCACGTCAGGGGGTGGATGCCAAGCTTGTGCCAGCTAAACACAATTATCTTGAAAAAGTCCTCAGTCCATTCATCAATGTGACAGTTCCCATTTAACGACAGAAGCATGACCATAGCGCGCGCGCGCGCGCGCGCACACACACACACCCACCCCAACACATCCCATGGAAAAGCAGGAAGGGGAACAGAAATTATTTTCAAGGTCCAGGACTCCCTAACAGATTTGCTATTCAGAAGGGAAAAAGCCTCCTCAGTGGGGGTGGGAAGGGTTAGGGTGGTGGTAGTTAGTGGTGGTGTCCCCGTGTGCCTGAGGAAGGTCTGAACAGCTCTGCAGGCAGAAAAGAAGACCCCCAAGCAATTCATGGGGAACATTTGCTTACTTTGGACCAACTGGCTACATAGGAGATGTCTATGTAAAGACAGAAACATCTCAGGACCTAGGCCTGGCACCTCTCCAGAGAGAAGAGAGGTTTCATTTGAATGAATGAGAAGGAGCCAAAGTTACCTCAGGACACTTTGTTAGGTAACTGGTCACCCCACTCATAGTCACCCTGCACCTCAGAAGCAAAACCTATACCCTCAAAAGTGGATTCCATGGGAAGTGGGGTACCAAACAGACAAATGTCCTCATTTCATCAGGAAAGCATCAAAAGTGTTTTTAAACATACTGCTGCTAGAAGATGAACTAAGTTGATTATTATTATTATTATAACTTTATTAAAATCAACAACATACCTGCGAAATCTAGGAAGCAGCCAGCTACCCTTAGTTAACCTTGACTAGGTTCCCATCATAAGCTATTGATTCCTGGCCTCCTAATACATTTCAATAACGAAATGTGAAATGTCCTCAGCCCCGCTTGCTGGGAGTCCTGGCTGAGTGACAGTGTCGAATTTAACAACTCTACCTACACGGAGAAGCACTTGACATGAAAACTGTGTGCTCCATACTTACGTGGGACCATTTCAAAATGAGTATAGATGACCCTTTAAAAGAATGTTAAGCACTAACATGTTGAGGTCTCTCATATATAAAATACCTCTTGCAGCTTCACACTGTATCTTAATTAAAGGCAAGCACTCAGATGCAGCGGGAGCGGAAGTGAGGAGAGACATGACGTAGGCTGTAGTTCATCAACCTCCTCTTTTGGGGGGATGGGAAGGGGTCCTTACCCTCCTCGTGTAGGACTCATTGAACTCGTCTCCAATCCGCCGAAGTTCCTGTGCAATCCGTATCTCAGGGCGAACGTCTGCAGGTTCCTCCTGAGACTGCCTTATGGAAGCTGTGTGGGCACAGAGAAAGCAGAAATCACGCCAGGGTCGGCAGCAGTGAGAACAGGGTACACGACTTTCCAGGAACAAACCCATCTCTCTCACTCCCATCCTTTTGGAAGCTCTCTGGTTTCAGCGACTCTCAATCTGGTGTTAAGAACCGTGAAAGAAGTATCGTTTTAGCCAATGTCCTAGTTAGACTTCTGTTGCTGAGAAAAGGGTTTGTTTGGCTCATGCAGTTGACCACAGTCCATGGACTGTGAGAAGTCAGGGCAGAAACTCAAGGAGCAGAGGCAAAGGCACGAAGTAGCAACCTTGCTCCCTGGCTTGCTTGCCATGGCCTGCTAAGTCTGCTTTCTCATACGACCCAGGACCCCCTGCCCAGGCTGGCCCTGCCTGCAGTGGGCTAGACCTTCCCACACCAATCATTTATCAAGAAATTACCCACCGATTTACCGATAGGCAACCCAACAGAGGTAATGCCTCAACTAAGATTCCTTCTTTCCAGGAGACTCTAGCTTGTGTCAAGTTGACCAACAGAACAAAACAAAACCAGGAGACATACGTGCCATAGGATAACTCCACAGAATTAGAAGAATCAAAAATATCCTGGCCCAGCCATCCTATTTCAAAAAGAATCCTAAACAGCACAATGAGGATCACCAAAGAGACATGATAGGGACCGATGACATGGCTTAATCACAAAGGCACTGGCTGCCAAGCCTGACAACCTTGAGTTCGATCCCCAGAATCTACATGGTGAAGGCAAATAAACAAACAAACAAAAAAGAAAGAAAGAAAAAGGAAAAGGAAGAAAGGAAGGAAGAAAAAGAAAGAGAGAAAGAGAAAAGAAGGAAGGAAGGAGGAAGGAAGGAAGGAAGGAAGGAAAGAAAAAAAAAAAAAAAAAAAAAAGAAAGAAAGAAAGAAAGAAAGAAAGAAAGAAAGAAAGAAAGAAAGAAAGAGAAATCAGTGACAAAGCCCAGCATTCATGGGGTCCCAAAGTCCACCCTTAGAACGACACTAGCAAAGAAAAAAAATACATAAAACACTAGAGAACATAAAACTTTAGTTTCTCAGTAAAACACCCACTTTGGGCTTAGAACAAGGTACAAACTGCTGGGAAAAATTCAAACCTGACAAAATGGGGAGAGCTGAGCTGCCTGGCAGGTGGGTTCCTACAGAAGCAGGGTCAATCCAGAGCTCGTCCAAACGGGAGCATAAGTGCATGTTTTCACTGACTATTAACTCAGTCAACAAAGACAGACACCAAGTCTGCAACACCACACGAGGGGAGGAAACGCTTTGGGTCTGGGAGTAAAGGTACTTGAGAAGAGAGAAAAAGATTGGATCATGGCACGATGTGGGTGAGTTTGAAGCCAGCCTGAGCTACACATATACATCTGTGGGTTCTGGGTCAGCCTGAGCTAGCTATATAGTGAGATCCTGTCTCAAGAAAAAAAAAAATCATGTTAGGGAGTTAATACTGTAACAACACAAGAATACACCATGTTGCTCAGAGTTAGTAATAGTCCAGGAAGAGACTCCTGGACTCCTTTATATTTTAAAAACAAGCACAAGGAACTCCCAACTAAATTTCCCACTCAGTAAAGCAGTAAAAACCTAAGGTTCTTGGATTTCATAAAAACATTAAATTTTTTAAAATTTTGTAAGAGGTCCATAAATTGCGGATTCGTAACTCTACAAAAGCACATGAAAGCAAACACTTCACGACGTGGATAATTCTTTTTCGAATTCTTGTCACATCTTCCCTAAGCAAGGGAAGTCAACAGTGGTGCAGCAGAGTGAAGGATGGGCTCAGCACGCAGCCTCAGCACCACAGAACCTGAGGCAGGAGGAGAATGCTGGGCTACATAGTGACGTATTATCTCCATGGACGGAAAAAAAAACGATCAAGAGCTTAAGAAGCAGGTATTCCATAAGGCCTCAATGAGGGGGAGCTCTGTGCCCCACCAAGCTACCTACACTCTGAGCATCAGAGGGGATGTCACTACAGGAAGGATTAGTAGAGACAGGAAGTCTAATGGAGGAGTCAAATTTTTAGGCTAAGTCAGATATGGGCCCTGAACACACATCCAGCCACACACAAAAAAAATTTCACTGTCCATACTTTAGCATAAATATTTCTAATATTAATGTTACTATTAAGTCTACTAAAACTAAAGTTTAAATAATTGGCAAAAAAAAAAAAGACAAAAAAATTCAAGGGTAGACACCATGCCAGGCGATGATATCAGTTCCCGGTCTCTTCCTGGGTTCTTAGCTTTGTAAGGATTTGGTACCAGGAGCCAAATCATTATCTTTGCTTGTTTGAGACGGTCTCGCCATGTAGCCCAGGCCTCTCTCAACCCTCCTGTATCACCTTTCTAAGTGCTGGGATGACAAGCATGCACCGTCACCCCGGTCATGACCAGAGTTTTTATACTATGTGCTACCAAGCCCTCTCCGACTTAGGCGCCTTCTGCTGAGTGTCACCCCGCCCCCGGGGAGGCAAACCTATCACCTACACAGCTGAGCAGGCCAGCGAGGTACCGTGCCACCATGACAGGTCCCATCACCCGCCTCCCTGGCTTCATAATTCCACTGTTTCCACCCAAACACACGGAAGAGAGATATAGCTTCAACTCTGGGGTTGGAAATAAAACCCAATTACTGAAGGAAAAAACATCATATGCTTGATTTATAAAGTTGGTGGGGTGATCAAGCTTGCCGGCCAACTTATCTGATGATCAATATGGGGTAAGATTCACTGATTTACTCAAGGAATGATGGAGAGCCATGTTGTTCTAGGAGGCCAAGCTGAGGTCTCATGGATC